CCTTTGATTTTCAGGAGCTGCTCATGGTTGCTGCAGTCCTGGGACGTCTGGGTGCAGCGACTGCGAGCACAAATTATCCAATCTGATGTCTTTAAATTACAGCTCTCTGCTGCATTCAGCTGCTCCTGTGAATCTCGCCTAGATAAAAACATACACAAGTCTATTTTATCATTACATTATATTTGACCCCTCGAGTTAACAAGTTCTCCGCAGCTAAACTTTTACAGTGGATGGCGGGATAATGACATGGAGTGGAGAGGAGGAGAGGGGAGAGAAGAGGAGAGGACAGGAGAGGAGAGGAGAAGGGAAAGGAGAGGAGAGGAGAGGAGAGGAGAGGAGAGGAGAGGAGAGGAGAGGAGAGGAGAGGAGAGGAGAGGAGAAGGGAAAGGAGAGGAGAGGAGAGGAGAGGAGTGGAGAGGAGAGGAGAGGAGAGGAGAGGAGAGGAGAGAGAGAGGAGAGGAGAAGGGAAAGGAGAGGAGAGGAGAGGAGAGGAGTGGAGAGGAGAGGAGAGGAGAGGAGAGGAGAGGAGAGGAGAGGAGAGGAGAGGAGAGAGGTGCATGGTTATGAGGAGAGAGAGACTCAGCAGAGGAGGGGAGCTCATTAATGAGTAATGGGACTGTGACCCTTTGCCCTTGGACATCACAGCTTCTTCTGATGACTTTGTTGATGCTCCAGTGCTGCAGATTCCAACATGAGCCAGAGTGCAGATAGAAAGGTTATTTCTATATCAAGACACAGATCTAAAGATGTGTTCAGACCAAAGTCAAGCCATTCCTCTGCAGCACTATTCCATACAAAGTCAATGTAAAGATGGCAAGAGTCAACATGATAGTCTGTATGGATACAAACAAACTGTAAAGCATCAACAACATATGAGTGCACATAAAGAGAGAAAGCTGTGATGCTCTTATCCTACATGAAGGGAACAGAACAGGGTTTAGTAAAGCTTAGCATTTAGATGCTAACATAGACGAGTAAAGTCTTGTTGCTGCAAAAAAAAAAACAACTTGTGTGTGTTTTGGACTAGTGTGTGTTTAGGCTACTCTTGTGCAACATACATGTGCAGACTAAGACTAGGGCCCTCTGAGTCCAGTGCTACTAAAGCTAGCCATGCTAATTGTTTTAGTGTGCATGTGCAAACGTACAGTATGTAATGAGTTTAGTTCCTCTTTAGTGTTACAAATATTTGTTTTCCTCTTTTTAAACTTCCTCTGCTCTTTGGTTACGCACACCTGCACTAATTAACAGAAATATTCCAATCTGTATCTCTTGCTCTCTCACACTTGCGCTCACACTCTCAAAACCTGTGGCCTGTGTCCAGATCAACAGCATCCGCAAGCCAGTGCCTCCTGCCATCTTAGCCCAATTAGAAGCTCCCCTCCTTGGGCAGAGAGAAGAGGAGAGGGGCCCCTCCCCTCCGTCCAGCCTCAAATCCATGGCTCCCGTGTTATGACAGCCTGACACTATAGCCCTGCGTAATTAATGCTGTCTGAGGGAGCGAGACGGTGTGGGGCAGGGGAGAGGGAGAGTGGGAGAGGGAGAGGGAGATAAAACGGTAAATGGAGGAGGACAAGGGAGGGTGAGGTGAAGGAGAGGTGGGGAAGGCAGACAGGAAAAGGGAGAAATTGGAAGAAGAGGAAGATGAGACAAAGAAAAAGCAGGTGATGAAGAAGGTGTAAGAGAGAAAGTGAGAGCAGAAAGCTGACAGACTGCCCCCTGTTGTGTTTGTTTTTACATGCAGGCTGTGTGTGTGTGTGTGTGTGTGTGTGTGTGTGTGTGTGTGTGTGTGTGTGTGTGTGTGTGTGTGTGTGTGTGTGTGTGTGTGTGTGTGTGTGTGTGTGTGTGTGTGTGTGTGTGTGAGCTGATAGCTGATGGCAGTATCGTGTACCGGCAGAATGGAGTCATGCTGCCGTCATTGTTGCCGCTCAGCCAGAGCTGGAAAATGATTTCTGATACAATCTGTACAAATAATTCTCCTCAAGGTGATCCTTGGAAATGATAATAAGGACGGAATCCATCGTAATGATTTATATTACATGCAGCTGTTCTGTATTAATGAGACGTGCTCTGTGATGTTTTTTTTTTTTTTAATTTATTGAGTGCCAGTGGAGAAAGTTATCTTCACATAGAGCAACAGAAGAACGTGATTTGGGTTTCTGTCCTGGAAGTGATGTTGTGCAGCACGAGGGTTGCAGCCATTACTTCTGCAGCATTCAGTGTGTTTTGTTTTTTTAAGTTGACATATTATGAAAAAGCCACTTCTACAGTGTTTTTGAACATATATTTGGGTAACCTGAGTGTCTACTGACCCACAAAATGTGAAATAAACCCATTCAGTCCTTTGTTTGTGGTCTGCATAAGTCTTACAACACAGAGAAAAATGCTCCGTTTAAAATTTGCTCTCCTTGTGATGTCACAGTGGGATTCTGGTTTTAAAAAAACACCCTAAAATAGTGGTTTGAATGTGATCTAACAGCTTTCAACAGGGAGAATGGCATTGCTCTCATGTCCACAGAACGCGCTGGTCTCCTGTTTTTAGTCACTATGTAACTAGAAGCGCACACGGCTTTATGGCACTAGCTCACTCTGCAGCCTTCAGTTTTGCTCTTTTTTTTAACCTTTTGATTGTTCTGTTGATTTCATTCTGTCTTCATCAGAGCAACAGTTTATCAAAAAAAAAGTGCTGTGAGCGATCTTGCTTGTTAAATAAGCAATTTTCAGCCGCTTCTGATTATTTCGACTCGACGGGAAGCCTCTTGTTTGTGCCCGACGCGACTAGAAAATTCACACATCCAATCAAAGATATTCACAAAAACAAAATGAAGTTAATGCCTGCTTGACAAAATGATTTCCCCCCCGGAGGAGGAAATGGGTTTCAAGTGAAGGGATGATTCATCGAACACACACACGCGCATGGTTTAACTGCTCTCAGAAAAACTTTTAAGGCAACACAGAGCTGAAGGCCTGAAGGTTGAGCCGTCGCATTAAAGTATTTTATTTCAGGGCACAATTAGCTTCTAAAAAATATACCGACCTATGAAGTTTGAGAGGTAAAATTCTTCAAAAGCTGAAAGCTGAACTAGTTGATGTCTCATTTCTTACACAGTGCTGAAATCTCCCCCACAGCTAACATACTAGCTCGAAGGCTAACCGTGGCTAGCTTGCTGTGCACTTGCTGTAAGCGCTGCACCCCGCTGTAGCTTTGCATCAATGAGTGGAGTCACTACATTAGCATTTCAGTGGCTTCAAAGACACAGACAGAACAGACAGGTGATCCTTTTTCTCCTATTTTTCTCTCTATTGCTAGATTTTTCTTTCCATCTCCAGGCCTCTACTGTCTTTCTACCTCATCCTTCAAACCTCCAAATTTCTGCTCCAGCTCAACTTTTTCTCTCATCTTTCTTTGTCACACCTTCCTGTTTTCTCTCTCTCCCATACTGACGTCATCCCCTCCTCATAGATTGAAAAACAACACAACACGGAGCAAGAACACAACAAGAACAGCAACAATAAGAAATTATTCTTAATTGAAGCAGAAGCATCATTAAAATGTACTCGCATGTAGCAGAAAAATAAAAAACTGACGGAGCACATCGGCACACAAAAAAAAAAAGAAGGAACGAGAAGACGAGAGAAAAATACGAGATAATCAGACTAAATCACGTCTGCTTCATCTGCAATTACCTGCCGTTGCCACGTTACGACTAAACAAAATCACCGCTGCCATTAGACATAATCAGCCCAATGTGAGCCCCGATGCTATGGATGGTTATTAGAGCACAGGACAAAATAATTGACATTCAGATAAGACGGGGGAGGGGGGGGGGAAGGAGCAGGAAGATTTGGATTAGGTGACATGTACTGACTGAAAGCAGGAAGCTGAAGTAGTACTGAAGGCGTTTTATCATAAACTCCATCATGTAAATAAAGAGTGTTAAATGCATAATTTCCAGCAAAAATTGGTGATCAATAACTATTTCTAAAGCCTGAGGAGGTCACATTTTGTTTGCTTGCCTAATGTATCTAAACATGTTTGAAACTACAGTCTGAAAATCTGCAGGAACATTTTTGTAGTCGCCTTTGTTTTGTGTATATGTCCACCATTTTGGGTTTTACCATGAAATACACCGAGTTCTGTCTGAAAAGAAATAAAAGTATTTGCAGGGGGAGCCAGTTTGGCTCTGTGGTTGGAGCAAAAATAGTCTTTAAATATTAATGTTTGAAACCTGAGTGACGTCACCCATCTGTTATCTGATAGACTCCTTATTGTGAATATCTCTTATCCTTCATCAAATCAAAACAGATGAGTCATCAAAACATTCACCCCCCGTACAGTGTGTGTCGATCGAGACATGAGCCAATCAGACCTATTTGTTTTTTGGAACCGGGTTGTAAACATGTTAATCTCTGCTGTAAAAACAGGCTTTTTAGAATGGGTGTGTGTGTGACTTCCTGTGCTTCTGCAGCCAGCCTCTAGTGGACACTCGAGGAACTGCAGGAGTTCATACTCAAACCATGAACCATGCAGAACCAACCCCTTGATATTTGTGTTGTTTAATTATGTTTTTGTGCAGACGGTTACTCAGAAGTTGTGATTGTATTTGTGATATTGCATGTTATGGTTTGGTTTAGGTTAGGATAAATCTTCTTTGTTAGGGTCTGGAAGCGACGGCTCTGATTGGTAGAAGAAACCAGCAGCCGTGATTGAATCTTGTTCTCTTTTGTTTTTAAAACAGCTTCTCTGTTTGCTCAGATAATCCCTATATGCTACTGAAACAGACAGTCGTAAAAAAAAACACGAGATAACTCTGCAGGTAAATGTAAATATGGGATCATTTAAGACAACTCCAACAAATGTCGAGTTGTGTCATATTTCTGGATTCGGACAGTCTCCGAACCGTGGCTCCATGGCGTCTTCCCCTCCCGTCAGTTAGCTGCTCAGATCTGTGGGTAAATGTAACTTTAGGCCTGTTGTATTTTTCTGCTATTTGACCCCACAGACGATCACACCAGAGTCCGCCTGCAGTTGCTGGACGGAGACCCCCACTCTGACTACATCAACGCCAACTACATCGACGTGAGTGTCTACGCGCGCACACATGCACACACACACACACACACACACACACACACACACGATGGACTGGTTATGTTTACCCTAATTCAATGCATTACCTTTTTGAACCTACTTCCTATATTTACTCCCAACAACAAGTGTATTAAAGGAGCAGTATGTAACTCTGACTCATAGTGTTTAAAATGGGTACTGCAGTCCAGATTGTAAACATTACAGAGAGCTGTCTCCCCCCCGCCCCCTCCTCTCTAGAGTTGATGCTCACGCAGGTTGCCATGTGGTGGACACTGAAGCTTCAGTGTTTATCCAGCTCTGCATCGGTCTGTAAACCTTTCTGCGTTCTAACCTCTCTCCATTTTTTAAAAGCATCTCCAATATTGATCCTAGTTTGAGCACGTTTCTGCTCGTGGAGCTTATTAGAAACATGCAGAGGCTTTTTAGGTCGGGTACAATCACTTCTATCTGAACCAGTTCTCTTGCCTTCTTCCATCGCTGCAACACCTGTTGGTTTGACCTGATAACTGGTCTCATATCTGGCAAACCGAGGGGCGTCCAAAACGGCCGTGTGGGGGTGCCTTAAAACCGCCTACCTTCTCTGGTCCAAACAAATCCAGAGCATTCAGGACCAGAATCTAAAGTTAGAAGGAGGACATACTGGCTGCTGCATTGTTGTCAGAGAAGCCAGCACTTCAACATAGCATGTTTCCTTAATGTCTGATCATATAATGGGAACATGGTAACTTTTAAGCTAGTCCATATCTCCGACCTATTTGTGCAACTCAAGCTTTCTGCGATTTATCTAAAATTGTATAAAGATGCAGACATCCGTTCAGCTGCACACACAAACACAGACAGCGTATGTCCTTGGATGAATTCAACGAGGCTGCCAGACCAAATAGAACCACCTGAGACCCATTTACCTATTTTTAAAAACAATTACCTGGATGCTTATGAGTAGTCGAATTGATTTCTATCATCATTCTTTCCTCCCATCCAGGCACTCTTTTCCTCATTTCTTCAATTTCATGTGTCCCTTCACCTTCTTCTCTCTGATGATCTCTTTCATCTTGTTTTCTCACCTATCCTCCGGTACGCCCGTGTATTGTGCTTTCTCTGCTCCTTCCTTCTGGTTCTGTCTGCCCCGTAGGCGTTTTGCTTCATTTATCAAACTCATCTCTCTCGCTCGCAGCCGGCTGTTTTAATAAGAGCACAAATTAATTTGGATTTATGTAAAAACAAAACTGAAACAATGGAGATCCTGATATCTGAGTGAGGATAACACCGTTCTTACATCAGCGGCGCTTAATGACAAAATGAAAGTGATAAATGTTTCTTTCATTACAAGGTTATGTGTCTCATGAGGAGGGAGGGGGGAGGGTGGTGCAGGGACAGGAGGGCGATAATTATTGGTTGGAGAGTCGTCTCTTTTCATGTGTCCTGCTGAGGGAAGATTAAGACCCCCTCTATTATTTAATTTGATGTTTATTCGGAAAACGACCTTGAGTTATGCTTCTGAGGGGAGCGCGGCGCCCGCAGGGGGAGATGGGACAAATTAAAAGAGAGGGGGCAAAAAGAAGAAGAGAGAGAAGGAGAGGGAAATGTGACGGATGGATGAATGAGGCAAGCCAGGATAGAACGGGAAGGATGCAGGAGAGAAGGTAGCAAGTATGTCAGAGGAGGAGGCGGATACTGATTGAAGGGCGGCGTGAGAAATAAAGGAATGAGAGAGGAGGAGGGAATTAAAAAAAGAGGAAAGAGTGACAATTCATTCCTGCAGAAGAAAAGGAGGAGGATTGTCAAAGTAAGAATTGGATAAAAAAATGATTGAAGAGGAGGGAAAATATGGATTAAGAAGGAGCAAGGGAAGCAGACGGGTGTAGAAATGGACGATTTTAAGGAAGGATGCAGGAAGTGAGCGGTCGTCGCCCTATTTTTTTAAGTGTGTTCGGCTCTGTCACTACCCGTCGGCCCCCATCTGCCTTTTTTTTTGGCCAATTCAACATGTTGGCTCTGAGTCAGGGTTTCATTTGTCTCCAGCTCTCGACACAGGTTCAGGAAAGCCCCTTGAGCATGCCGCTGTAGTATCCATGCTTTCACCCATTAGTGCGGTTTCTCCTTATTTGTCTCCTCCGCCTCTTCTTTTCTTTTTCCACTAAAAGACCAAGAACTGACAACGGCAGCGCCATTTTCAACTTTTTATCAGACATTATTCTCCATAAGTAGGCTACCTATAATACGAGTGGTGAGCGACAGCCGTGTGAAAATGGTCTTCTCGTATCATAACAACGTACTACCGCCCCCTGCTAGCATGGAGAGTTATTTCCTCTCAGGCATGAGCAGAACGTACGTGGTGGTTGGCCGTCAGCTGTAGTCTTTGTGGTGTGCTCAAGTGCAACTTTTTGGCCAAGACGTGAGGCGACGCCACAGTTAGTCTGCGTCGCCACTCGTTCTTTACCGTCTTCTTGGTCCATCAGCCTCCATCACTATTGTATCATAATAAATATTGTATTGTACCAATAAATGTGAACAGTTTTTGCTAAGCAGCACAACGAGATGGAATGCTGTCATATGGGGACCCCTGAAGGAGGTATCCTACTGTCATTGCAAACACATTTTGAGCCACTCCTGTGGTTGAAGGTCTGTAAGCCCTTGGGGGCCCCCCTACTGATCTGGGGCCCCCCCAAGCTGTTGCTTACCTTGTCTGTTGACGAGCAGCGCTTCTAATAATTATTGGATAAAGAGTAGTTGAGGGAAGGAAAGAAATGTGCAGTTCAGATTTACCTTTTCCCCGTCTGGGAAGACAAAGAAAGAGTTTTTTTGTCCAGATAGTCTGGACAAAAAAAGTGAAAATGTTGAAAGTAATAAAATGACAAACAGAAGAAAAACAAACCGAAAAATTAGGTCACAATGGAGAGAAAAATGGAAAATATGGAGTTCAAGAGAGGATGAAGAGATATATCTTAATGCCTGACTCTCTCTCTCTGTCTCACAGGGGTACCACAGACCCAGACATTACATCGCCACACAAGGTAATTACACTGACGTAATAAGTGTGTTGTCCGTATGAATGTGTGTGTGTGTATGTGTGTGTGTGTGTGTGTGTGTGTGTGTGTGTGTGTGTGTGTGGAAGCCACCTGGTAAATGTCGTCCTCTCGCTCTGGAAGGCTATTACCACAACCTCCTAAATCTAAAGCGCTGTATAAAATCCCCCTGACAAATTTAAGACCCCATTACCTCACCCCCCCCCCGAACCACTATCTGGAATTGATAGTGTGTGTGCATGTGTGTGTGTGTGTGTGTGTGTTTCTGGGTTCATGTTTGCATGTTTAATATGTGTTTGTAGGACTGCTTTATCTGATTTTTACGTGACCTGGGAGGGATTGTGTGTGTGCATACCTGTGAGGATGAGCTCTGTTTGTGTGCATCATTATTTCTGTATCTTTAATTATTGTGTGTGTGTGTGTGTGTGTGTGTGTGTGTGTGTGTGTGTGTGTGTGTCCCAGGGCCCATGCAGGAGACGGTGAGGGATTTTTGGAGGATGGTCTGGCAGGAAAACTCGGCCTCTATCGTCATGGTTACTAATTTGGTAGAGGTGGGCAGGGTGAGTTTATTATTTCAAAAACATGTGCATGCGTGCGGAAAACTTGGCTAATTGCCAAACGGGTGATAGCGATCAGCATTTAATTCATATTTCACGACTTAGCATTGAATGCAAATGGTGTTTTTTTTTTGTTTTTTTTTCCAGGTGAAGTGCGTGCGCTACTGGCCGGATGAGACAGAGGTCTACGGAGACATCAAGGTGACCCTGATAGAAACTGAACCGCTGGCTGAATACGTCATCCGGACATTCACCGTTCAGAAGGTAGGCAACATCAGCTTTAACTTTAAAATTTAACCCCAAATCCCCACATACTCCGTGCATGCGGTTTGCCAGGAGGCTGAAGGCCCACCTAAGCTCCACCTCCCTGCCTGCTGCTGGGTTGATATAAAGTTGGCTTTTCCAACACGGCAATGGTCATCAACAGACTTCCTTCTTTAGGTAACATCAATGAGACTACGTCCATATCTTATACAGACTATGGCACATACTGGAATCGACCTGATAAAAAACAGTTTCAATGCAGTCCCTGTGATGCCAATTCACCGTTCTAGTGTCTGTGATGGTCACCAGCGTCAAATTCAGCATTAAGATCTAACAGGTAAAGATCAGAGACTCTGACAGTGCTGTCTCAGAGCCAAGCTGAGCTGGACACACACAACCCTGACTGAAAATACTCAAATGAACTCCTGCTATGAGGAAAAACATTCACTATTAAATATTTGTATTGATGATATTGTCCACCCTAAACCAACATGCCATGGAGAGTCTAAAAATCCACAAATCAAACAGTATACAGAGAGATTATTATTCCTGATTTCACTAAATGATGGACAGAATTATCATGTAAAGTGATTCTGGTTTTATACATTTTCCCACAAGGGTTCAGATGTGGGGGGGTTGCAAGGTGCTGCAGTGGTAAGCGCTGTTGTCTCACAGTGAGGAGGTTCCTGGTTTGAATCCCCGTCTGACAGGAGCCTCTCTGTGTGGAGTCTGCATGTTCTCCCCGTGCATGTGTGGGTTCCTCCGGTACTCCGGCCTCCTCCCACAGTCCAAAGACATGCTCGTTAGGTTAACTGCTGTCTGGTTGTCTGTCTCTATATGTCAGCCCTGTGATTGGCTGGTGAACAGTCCAGAGTGTAACCCCGCCTTTCGACCAATGACAGCTGGGATTGGCTCCAGCCCCCTGTGACCCTGAACGGTAAAAGGCGGTGTGGAGAAAGGATGGATGGTTGGTTCAAGGCGAGCGAGCGTTCTCACATGTTTACATCTTGCTGGTTAATGGGAGGCTTGAATGTGTGATTGGGGCCCTCGTAATCAGGCGGGAGGGATTCGAGAGGAGAACAGACACGTGCAAGTCGAGTACTGTACCACACGACCTGCACAAAGACACTTCACAATTAGGCTCTGATCCAAAACCTTGATTTTACAAACTACTTTACATCCTCTTCTCGCTCTCCTCTTTTTTTTGTTTTTCGCTGCCTTTCCCAAAACCTGGCTTATCCAAACATCCATTTTCCAACTTGTTTTCATTATTTGCATGACCACATAAAAATATTGGCCGTGCAATTTGCACGATACTGCTGCATTTAAATTGTGTTTGTTCACACTTTGTCCACTCTTATACCCTAAAAAAGGAGTGTACTGGCGTTCTTATAATACCCAAGTAATCATGATCTAATGAGAGCTCTTAATAGGTCAGTTGGTAGAGTCCGTCAACTCTCAACCGGAAGGTCAAGGGTTTGATCCCCAGCTCCTGCAGCCACATGTCCGATGTGTCCTTGGGCAAGACACTTAACCCCAAGTTGCTCCTGCTGCTTCATCTTCTGATGGTGTGAATGGACGTGTAGAAAAATACCAACATCATCAGCCAACGTGCTGATTAAAAGTGCCATTTTACTTCTTCATTAAAAAAACAGTTTTTCTCTCAATTGTAAAATCACTAAAGCATCTTGAATAAGTTAAATCGTCCTTTTACATCCTGCTTTCTGGTGTGTGTGATTTTCTTAGAACTTTCATATTTCTCTCTCTCTCATCTATTTCCTCTTTTTTTCCACCCATGCCGTATTTCCTTCCTGCCTCACTCATGCAAAAGCAGCTTATGAAGACAAGTCTTCAAGTCCTCGCTGTCAGCTCATTTAGCAAGCCATTAATCCATACCACCTCTGTGTGTGTGTGTGTGTGTGTGTGTGTGTGTGTGTGTGTGTGTGTGTGTGTGTGTGTGTGTGTGTGTGTGTGTGTGTGTGTGTGTGTGTGTGTGTGTGTGTGTGTGTGTGCAGAGGTTCTAAAATTCGTAGAAAAGCTGATTTTAAAAAGCCTGTCATTTTGAAGTGCGCATACAAATACACACCACTCTCACAAACACACACATAATTCAAAATTATCCATCTTTGAAGTACAGGAGCTTCTCTGAGTGTGTGTGTGTGTGTGTGTGTGTGTGTGTGTGTGTGTGTGTGTGTGTGTGTGTGTGTGTGTGTGTGTGTGTGTGTGTGTGTGTGTGTGTGTGTGTGTGTGTGTGAGTGAGTGTGTGTGTGTGTGTGTGTGTGTGTGTGTGTGTGCGTGCGTGTGCTGTGTGTGTGCTGTGTGTGTGTGTGTGTGTGTGTGTGTGTGTGTGTGTGTGAGTGTGTGTGTGTGTGTGTGCTGTGTGTTTGTGTGTCTTAAGAACAAAGACAAAGCAAGACAGGCAGCAGGAGAGAGCGGGCGAGAGAGAGAGGGAGAGAGAGAGGGAGTGTGCACAGGTTCTGCATGGCAGTTAAACAGCTTTAATTGCAGTGAATAATGAGAACAGGATCTTAATGAAAAGGTTTATTAATGGCACATCGAAGGAGATTAAAGGAGCACTGAGGAAGAGAGGGTGACAGTGTGACGCTCGAAGAAAGAGAAAGTCTGTGTGTGTGTGGCAAAGTGAGGGAGAGAGGATGAAAAAGCAGGTCACAGAGAGACGTTCATGTACGAGTGTTGGAATCAAACACAGCTTTTTGGAGGTGAGCAAAGGATAAAGCAAAGGCCAAGTTTTTCTGATCAGCTGTGTGAAAAGTGTTCAAAGCAACATGTTGATTTCATCGAACAAGTCATGGAAGTCGGTATCTGTTTTAACATTAGCAGTTCAAGTACTGTAGGTGTAGATGTAGAGAAAACCCACTGTCTCTTTGTTTTGAGATGTACAATTACCCCCGTGCAGAGGCGAGGCCAGAGGGGTGGCCAGAGGTGATTTAGGCCTCCCTTGAAATCTTAATGGCCACCCCAGGTGCCACATGTAAATCCTTTTCAGGATTAAGATTTGCCGCTCTTGATCCTGAAATGTTAGTCATATGACAGCGAAACCCCTCACACAGTGAAACAGGTCCACAAGCAGATTTCCCAACTTTCTTTTTTTTGCTTTCTGATTGCACCCTCACAATCAGTAGGAATGCGGCTGAAAGCATCGTGGCAACAGAATGCATGCCTGTTTGATGTGTCCTCCCCTTCCTCACTGAAGATACAAACGCGAGAAACATTGGCAGGAAATATCTGCGGACCTCCTGCTGACCTAGTATTTGTTATGATTTAGCTGCTCGTTGGCTTGGTGATGCTGAGAGAGAGAGAGAGAGAGAGAGAGAGAGAGAGAAAGAGAGACTTCTCCAAAGTCTTAAAAATCATAAATGTGTCTCAGTAAGTATTTTTACCACATTGCAGTTAAAGTCTAATCGGACATTGAACACTCATTACCCTGGAGCTTGGCTAGTGTTAAAAAACGACCCTATAGAGAGGATCCTAGAGCGTCATTATAGTTGAAGCAGACAGCTGCTGACCATGCTCATGTCTTTGAAAAGACGGAGAGTGAGAGCGTGTTTTTGTAGAAACCAAACAATGAGCTGCGACGGGGCTTAGTACACCCAATGGAGCACATCCAAAGCAGCAGACGTCTAATCTGCTTTATGGCACTCAGATCTGGAGAAACCAAACAATTGCGAGCCGCAGTGGACGACAAACTACACAGGAAGTGAGTGAGCAGTGTACATGGACCTGCAGGCCAACAAACACAGCAACAGACGACCGGTGCATGGCGTACCAAACAGAGAGGACAGATGGTTTGAGAAGTGTTCAAAAGTGTTCTGGAGAAACTCTCCCTGTAGTGGGTCAAAACACCATTCCTTCAACCGCGAGAACCCTTGATACCTCTACCTTTTCTGACTGTTCAGATGAGTATATGATTGACAACCTGCACGCTCTGTCTTCATTTTTCATCTCAGTGAACCCGCCCTAAAGGTGGGCGTCGTCTCCCCATGGGAATAACCCTTCCCAGAATTCCCTGAGACATCTTCTATCAAAGCTGACGACCAATTGTTTGGATTGGTTTTCTCCAGATGTTTCACAATTGGACGACTGATCTGAACCTTCACAGATAAAAGATTGAACATGACTTGAAGGCCAATGTACTTCCAGCCCTTTAGTTTGATATGATGTTTAGTAGCAGCCGCTCAAACCACAAATCGCACTGAGTTACAGAAAATGGAATTTACCAGTAATCAGTGGGTATTTCCAACCCAAAACAGACTGGGTCAGACATATTTAAAGGTCACATATTCTGCTAAATCCACTTCACCATGTTCCTCTAACTCTAACATGTGTCTCTAGTCGTCTACAAACCCCCCAATGATGAAAAGTCCATCCTCTCCGTCTTCTGCCTGCTCCACTTTTCAGAAAATGTGTGCTCAAACAGGCCGTTTGGAGATTTTCCCTTCATGACATCACAAAGGGCAGTAACCCCTCCCCCAGGTGGGTGACACTCCCACAGCTAGGTGTTTGTTCTGCCCTCTGAGTCTGCCTTCTCACCGTAAACAATAGGACATGGAGCGAGAAAGCCCGAGTACACCCAAGCCCTTCTAGAGAGATCAAAAATGATGAAACGTTTGTTAAATACAAGGCCTAAAATAAACTCACGCAAGATGGCGTCTGCTTTGGCGTACCCTGAGCCACTGGTGAAAGGACTATTTGCTTTCTTGCCAACTCTGATTAACAGGAAACAGTCTGGTTCTACTTCTGCACAAAATACTTCTCTTCTGTCAAAACACCTCAAATATTTTTTGCATCCTCACGAGCTATAAATGTAGACGCATGGAGGATTGTAATGTTGTTTTGGACTTTTTCTACCAACCTGTCATGGATTGATTACCCCGGCTGTGTTGGAGACCTCCTTCTATCGATCTAAAGAAGTAATTTCAACATCACAAAAGAGCAAATCAATGAGAGGTCCAGTCGTCAAATCACCCTGTGGTTTTCTGTCTCTGTCTGTTGGTCATTTTTTATCTCCTCTTTTACATCTTCTCCTTCCTCCTTTTTATCTTCGTCTCTACTGTGGACTCCTCCTCGCCTTCACTTCTTCTCGTCTATCCTCTCTTCATGGCGTTCTGCCCTTTTCTTACTCGCTGCCTGTTTCTTTACATCACTTCCTCTTTCTTCCTCATGTCGGCCACACTTCACTGCGACCTTGTCTCTCCACCGGGGCCAGAATGGGATCCGCAGTCACAACAGTTTCCTCAAAGTGCTTTTCTTAGCGAGTAAACTGAACCATCTCCTGTTCATGTTGAAGTTTAGCACAGCATAATGGGATCGATTGGTATGCATAATTTAACTGACTGTAAGGTCGTAGGGAAAAAACACCAAACTGGCTATAGAAACAGAATCTCACACTTTATCTGACGTCTACAAGGTGGCATACGCTGTCAGAGTAATCTAGATTGACTGATGGCATCGTTCAATCTTTTCACAGTTGGTTGTGGAGGCTTAGTTTGAAGGCGTTGTTGGCTGACTGAATGAAATATTGCTGTCCTTTAAAAATCATAATTTCATCTAGATTTTTGATAAAGGTGCGACAGCGTTTTAGGGCCAAGGTAAGGAAAAATAATCAAAAAATTTGAGATAAAAAAAGACGTTTATTCATAATATTATATTTGTAAATCATTTAAATGAGGCTTTGGTTAAATTATCTGAAAAGCAGCCCATCCACCAGCAGGAAAATTATGAAAGGGGAAACCTCAAAGTGATTTCCACCGCCACAAAAGAGACAACCTCCTCCAAGTCTTTCTGCGGTAAAGCTCCAGTTTCTTGCAGTATCTTGTCAGGGTCATGATACTTATGACTGTGATGCTAATGTGCCAAAAAATGAAGTATTTCCTTATTTGTGAAACCTTTACTTTAGCATTTTTTAGGCACAGGCTTGTCTCTGATTTCTCTTGTTTTTCGTTTCTTAGCAAACGTTAAAACGGTGTATACGTCCAATGGAAGAGTATGTGATTCCCAAAGTTTTGTCAAGGTGTTTGAGTCATAAGGAGAACACTGTTTTGAATCTTTCAGACTTCTTTAAGTGTTTGCAAAGTCATAAACTCATAAAAAAAGGGATGTGAAAGGACTGAACTGTCGGCGAGAATTAGGCAGCTTAACTGAACCGAGTCATTTCCTCGTACAAGTCCCTCCCAAAAGGGCCATCATGAGATTTGCAGAATCAATTAATCTTTTTTTTTTTTTTTTTTGTGGAGCCAAAATGGCCATCAGTTTCCTCAAATCTCCCCTGTAAATTAGGCAAATGAGCCTCGATAAGTCTTCCTGTCTCTCCTTCCCAGAAGTGGCCCAAAGTGCCAACCTCGACATCCACAAGATTGATTTATTTTCCGTCTGAAGCCAAAGAGGCAGCGCTGCCCCCTCGGCTCCTGAAAATCCCCGCTGTAAATTAGGCTGCTGAACTGTGATATGTCTTCTTGTCAGTCTTTCCCCAAAAGAGCCGTGATGGGATTCCTGAGATCTGTTCATCCGTCATCATCCAGACACAAGATAGGGAGATGGCAGAGAGCCCGTTTTTTTTTTTTCTGCAGTTGATTCAACTTTTGATGTATCGTCCCCCCCCTCCTCACCGTTTGTGTTTTTCAGAAGGGTCACCACGAGATCAGAGAACTCCGTCAGTTTCATTTCACCAGCTGGCCCGACCACGGGGTTCCCTGTTACGCCACCGGGCTGCTTGGCTTCATACGGCAGGTCAAGTTCCTCAACCCGCCGGACGCCGGGCCGATAGTGGCACACTGCAGGTAAGGACACAAACAGTCTAAGAGGTATTTCACTGGAACTGAACTTTAACCACTGATGCTGTTGGTCCGAGGCTGCAAAGGGTTAGAAGTACAGGTCCAGGTTGTGCATGTAAGTGAGGGGGCGTGGCTTAAGAGGGAGCACAGAGGGGATGGGGTGCAGACGGAGCATTGAGGGAATGCTACTTTCTAAATCCTGTTAGTTTTAGAAAATGTCCAACCCTGCCTCTAACCTTCTAAAGCTGTGAACACACTGGGAGATAATCGGGCTCAGTTTGGGACCCGAGTTTCCTCTCCGTCGTAACTTAAACTTTTGCTTGGTTCTGAAGATTGTCTCGCCACATTTTCCCGTGGCGTGAGGTGCGTTAAGTTGACTAATCCATCTGTGTGACTAAATAAATATTCAGCTCTAAAATAGCCTATCCTCCTAGAATCTTTTTTGTCTTCCTCCTCTGTGTGTCTCCAGTCTAAGATAACGCTTTAGCACAGGTTGTCATTACCACACACACACACACACACACACACACACACACACACACACACACACACACACACACACACACACACACACACACACACACACTCACATCGAGCCCCTCTGGCCCATAAATTAGATCGATGGTATTAACCTTTAAAAAATAGGCAACAAGAAAAAAAAGAAGAATTCACCTTCCACCCCACTTTCATCTCCCCCCCTCCCTCCCTCCCTCCCCCTCCGATATCATTGGACAGGTAAAGGGGGGAGAAAAAGAAAATGAAGTGACAGTTTTCCATGATCCCCATGGCGACAGTATATTTAACCTCCATGTTCTGTTCTTCATGGGATGTAACGGGTCAACTCCGGGGCCGAGCTGTCAGCAGACGCAGGCTTAAAAAGGTCAGCTCTGTGACAAGCTGTGGAAAAAAAATAATGTAGAGTAGATTTCTTAGATTGGAAAGAGCATTTAAAATTAACGTATTCCATTTGGTGGTCCACCTTAATACAACCCACAGCTATGAGGTGGTGTCATATATATATATACATACACAGCATGTTATTAAATGCTGGATCCTCGTTTTGAACCAAGCTTAATCCACTTGGTGTTTCTCCTCACTGTGATTTTATTTTCTCTTATTTTCTGCTAACTCACTCACATTAACTCACCTGCTGCGCTGTCATTGGCTGGAGGTGCGGAGGAAGCCAGATCTGGTGCGCTCCCCGTGTAGCAGCCCCCCTCGCTCTGACATCTCTCCACTGATGCACGTCCACATGTCCTGTTTGTGCATGTGCAATATAAAAATGGTCATTATGTATTAAAGTTCGGTTAATAACCGGCTAAAAACTGAGTTTTAAACTGCAGTGGTTAAAAGAAGAAGGATGTGATGCCTTTAGAAAAGCGAAGGAGTCTACAGGAGAAGTTACAAAACACAATCCAAGAGCTCCTTCAGGACAGACAGGGACAGGGACGCACGGCGGGACAGAGACAGACAGGTAATTAGATTTTTCAAAAAAGGAGAGAAGGGGGAAGATATCAGCGGACGGACAACGAGGCGAGGCCGACGCGTAAACAGGCGGCTCCCGTTAAAGTGTGTGGACAGACAGGCGGGAAGTTATGGCAGTCACTTCCAATTTCCGGGGGGCACTCTGACGCTATTGGCCTGTGTCATGAGGCGTCCAAACACACACACACACACACACACACACACACACACACACACACACACACACATACATGCACACGCACACACAGAGGCCCGGCAGTATTCTGGTCTCAACATTAATCACAGAGGTTGACAGGTAATCTGCCAAGGCGCTCCCTCCTTCTCTCTCTCTTTTCTGTCTTTCTTCCTTCTCTCACTCCCTCTGTTTCTCTCGCTCTCTCTCTCTCTCCCCCCCTCCTCTCTCACTCTCTCTCTCTCCCCCTTTCCCTGTAAACTGTCAGGGGGGATTGCAAAGTGAAAGATGGCGTCCCCCCCTCCCTCTCACCATCACTCCATGCCTCATCCTCTCAGCTCCCCTTATACATCCCTCCATCCTTGCCTCCTCTCCCGCCTTGATCTCTCCCCTGTGACGACCACTTCTATCACTCCCAATCACTAACCCCCCCCTCGCTCATAAAATCCACCCGTCCATCTGTTCTTCTTCTGTCCCTCCACTCGTCTTTTCCCTTCAGGCATTACTGCTCCGGATGTGTCGCTTTAACACCTGACATGTGGTATTACAGTCTCTCCATGTTTGTGTGTGTGTGTGTGTGTGTGTGTGTGTGTGTGTGTGTGTGTGTGTGTGTGTGAGAGAGAGAGAGAGAGAGAGAGAGAGAGAGAGGGAGGAGGGAGAGAGGGAGTGAGAGAAAGAGGGAGAGAGGGAGTGAGAGAGAGAGGGAGAGCGAGGGAGAGAGAGAGAGAGGGTGTGAGAGGGTGAGAGAGAGAGCGAGGGAGAGAGAGAGGGAGAGAGGGAGTGAGAGAGAGAGAGAGAGAGGGAACAGAGAAACTCATACATCTCAATGACTCGTCTATCCTCTCTGATGTCAGTTTTTCCTAAACTGTAAATGGCTAAGCACCCTTATGACTTGATTCTTCATTTGTGATTTAATCGATAAATATTCCATGTTTTCGTTCCTTCTCCCACAGCGCCGGTGCGGGGAGGACGGGCTGTTTCATCGCAGTGGACATCATGTTGGACATGGCCGAGAACGAAGGCGTGGTGGACATTTTTAACTGCATCCGAGAGCTGAGGTCACAGCGAGTCAACATGGTGCAGACGGAGGTTAGTGTGCAGGAGTTTAAAAACAAACACAAAAGAGACACACACACACTCCGGTGTTTCCCCTAGGATGGCGTCGGGGCAGCAGAGGTAAAGTGGAACAATGTTTAAAGGCTTAATATGCGATTTTTCACCCTTAAATGTAATAGAAATCAAGTATATCCTCTGAAAATAACTCTGTGAGTCCTGACTGTCTACAATGGGTGTAACACACGAGTCCCACTGTCTGTGATGTTTTCCGAGTTTTCTGAGTCCTATCCTCAGTTTGTTTACATCGCCAGGACGGCCGGCCGGCTGGCTCCTCTCCTCACGTATAAAAGTTGTTTAATTGAGGGACTAGAGAAAATAAGAATAACATACTGTACTCACTGCTTAACTGCGTTTCTAGATCACGCTCATTTCAGGTAAATGTACATGCAGTGTGAAGATACGAGCATAATAAAGAAAGAGCTAACACAACAATGCAACGCGAGTTGTTTTGGTTTCATGCTGGTGCTCATCTGCTGGATCAAAAAATCGCATATAAAGCCTTTAAGTTGGGTGCAATTAAAAAAAAAAAAAAATATATATATATATATATATATATATATAAAATAAAAAAATAAAAAATGTTTTTCTTTTTTTTTAAGATTTATTTATGGGCTTTTTGGGCCCTTTTATTGTAGAGATAGGGCAGTGGATAGAGTCGGAAATCAGTAAGAGAGAGAGAGGGGAATGACATGCTGGTAAGGAGCCACAGGTGGGATTCGAACCTGGGCCGCATTCTTGGAGGACCCATCCCCCATTCCTGGCCACTAACCACTGCGCCACCAGCGCCCCAAAAAAATGGGTTTCTTTAAAATAATTTTTAACATTTATAGGACAAAATAGCCAATCAACAACCTCCCTGTACAGTAAAATGACATTACCAAATCAGTTGCCTCTGGCACATTAAGAAAACTCAAAGAATTAATTTCTACCACTGCACATCCTTTAGGCTAACTACCCAGCCAACAGGTCCTCATGCAGTCCATAGTGGTCTCTCCTTGGTGAGGTGGGCTTAAACTGATTATGGGCTTCGAGAGTATTTTACCTGGGGGGTGTTTGGACCCACATTGCCAACATTGATTTAAATAGGCAAGTTCTGGAAATGGGCTCAGCATTTAGCAGGAAACATGGGTACTGGATGGATTTAGAGTGCGCACCAAAATGGGCCCATTATGGAGCTCATTAAGGCCCATTAATCAACCCATCTGGACTAACCCATGTTGGACCTCCATGGAGACTGAGGAGGGTATCTCATTTTGGCCCCACATGGAGGTGCCTGCCAGGTAGAATCTGGAAGTATTACTGGTTTACATCAGGCCTTGCAAAAGTAATCAAAAAAGTTTAATATCCATCAAAACATGGTTTATTTGTTAAACAGTTCTTTCTTTGCCCCATGAGAAGTTGGGCTCTCACTTCCTTTGTCATAATGTGTCCTAATTTTGTGCAATCAATCATTTCTAAAGACTCTGCGCCGTCACATGTTGGCTGTTTCATTTCAGAACAGAAGTATTCATTTCGTCTCTAAGCTACCTTAAGCCCAACCTAATCCATCCCGCCTCCGCTTTCCATTTGTTCCCCTGATAGATAAAAAAAAAAAAACTCACATATCCCGAAAAGTCAACTTCATGATGATGGGGAGTAAAGAAAAAAAAAACAGCCTCATTTCCAGACTGACGGCTCCGACTCAGAGACTTCTGGATGTGTTTTAGAAGTGCCAGGTTCAGGAAAGTTAGCCAGGCTGCAGCTCTGAGGGATTTCATTCAACAGCAGCGGTATGAGAGCTAATGCTGTGTTTATCTGTGTGTGTGTGTGTGTGTGTGTGTGTGTGTGTGTGTGTGTGTTTGCACTCAAAGCTAAGTTAAATGCATCCTGCCCTTCCTTTTGAACATGTGTGGGAGCAATTTGTGTCAGTGTTGAAGCTGCTTGACGCCATTATCACCCTGCTTCACACGACACAAAGTAATTCCTCTTTAAAAGGCACAGATGAGGCATGTGTGTGGGTGTGTGTGTGTGTGTGTGTGTGTGTGTGTGTGTGTGTGAATGAATAAGTGCTCTCTTTGTGGCTTTAGGTGTGTGCTTACATGTTCTTTTGCATGTGTGTGTGTGTCATTCGAGTAGCTAATGGCCAAGCGAGGACGTTTTTAGCGATGCTTTTGAAACTCTCCTCTCCGCTCCAAGGGTAACAATTATCATTCAACAGGGAGAGACGGGCCGAGAGATAACATGGGGGGGGGGGAATGGAAACAGTTAGAGACGGTATCTAAACATATTGTGAGCGAGAACATGGAGAAGACATGGGTTGAAAAAAAATGAATAACTGTAGTTAAAGGAGGAGGCTGAGGGGTAAATTAACATGCACAGCGGCCGCTGGATTTACGCTGGCTGAAGCTTTTACCGGCGAGCTCGTTGGAGCACAAAGAGCACACTTGATCCAGAGCACAGAAACATCGCACAGCAAAGCACCCTCCCCCCTTTTAATTCACTTCCAGGCTGCAGAGAGGGAACGAGCACACAAGTCATGATTCACACGCACAGAGTGAACAAAAACGATGCTACAGCTTAGCCAAACCAGGTCCTGAGTCCATGCTGTCAATGCTAACAGAAACACAAGGTCAGAGGTCACATGCAGGTGCACCAGGTAACTATTGCCCCCTTTTAAAAATAGGGAAGCGTGCACTTTGAGGACGACAAATTGTATAAATGTTGAGCTTCCAAATTATTTTTAAATTGCCAGAAAGTGCTAACTCCACTGGTTGTAATTACACCAATCAAGAGGGGAAAGCGACCCTACTTTCGTTTGATTCATCCCTACTCTAAACCTCTGATGAGCTCATGGTATGATTTGTACGGAGGCCTGGAGGAGTCAGACGAAATGCATATACAAAATGCTTTGCAGACGAGAGAAACACAACCCCATTGACAGAAAGACAAACCAAACAGAAATGCAAACGCCAAAACACAAATAACCACAACAGACGATGAAATGAGTTAACTATTACTCAGGTTTCTGACGGACTTTTGCGACAGACGCATGTTGAGGAAATAGTGAGAATAAGTGAACGCTCTTTGCTCATTTGAGATGATCAAATAGTGAGATTTATCTTATTAATAAAATATATTTTTAGAGAACTGATGAGCAACATCTTACTTACTTTCATAATTTCTTCCATGTGTCGTTACTTAATTACTTTAAATTGTCATCTGAGCTGTGCGGGAGTGTTTTAAAGTGAAATGAACCATTTAAAGGCGCAGCGCAGTCGTTATTTCCATCACTGTGGCTGCAGGATGACGCTGCAAAACGGAAGCTGAAAGGGACAGAATAGCATGCGATAAAAGCAAATAAAAAAAAATGAATGCATTTAATTTAATTTCAATGAACACCACTTGTTTGAACTTTCAACTTTGGACTTGTGGCTCCTGAATTTGTCTAGCGGCGTTTGTGTTCGTGTTTGAATGCATATTCAACCTGTGGTCCAAATATGGTCATTTCTGGTTTCTTCTAACATGATAGTGATCAGCGAAAGGCCAAACCAGGTTCTCCAAACCAATGTGTGAAATCACCATGGCAACGTCCACTTCTTTTACACAAAAGTGTTTTTTTTTTTCCATAAAGGATATTTTCACTCCAGCTTCTGCTTCATTGGTTCTGCCTTTTCCTCACGTTGCAGGAGCAGTACGTGTTCGTTCACGACGCCATCTTGGAGGCGTGTCTATGTGGGAACACAGCCATACCCGTGTGCGAGTTCAGAGCCATCTACTACAACATCAGCAGACTGGACCCGCAGACCAACTCCAGCCAGATTAAAGACGAGTTTCAAGTGAGAACACACACTCATCATCACACACCTAAACCTTTAGGAATATGAACAGGACTAACTGTCGTTGCTGGTAATGAACTTTGTTCAGCTTGACTCTGAGAAAATGCACGGAGCTATTAGGTCCTGGAACGCCCCTGAAACAGATTCTGTCTTTGCCAAACATAAGGATAGGATAGGATAATACTTTTTTTCTCCAGAGGGGAAATTTGGGCATTGCAGCGGCACAGACAAGATGACATAAGTCCTCCAGTAGGCATGCACATATTTCCATATTTCCTCCCTAGAAGTTTAAAAATGTCTTTTTAGTAAGCAGTCTTTACTTCTTTTCAATGCTTGTATTTTTATTTTTGCATACAGCTGGTTAATCGATTTTCCACTTATAGCGTTAAAAAAAAAAAAAAAAAGCCCTCAAAATCTAGTCACCAACTTTTCCAATCAAATGCTTTGTTACCATTTTCTCTCCATAGACGCTGAACATAGTGACCCCTAGAGTCCGTCCAGAGGACTGCAGCGTGGGTTTGCTACCAAGGAACCACGACAAGAACCGCAGTTTGGACGTACTATCAGCGGATAGATGCCTTCCCTTCCTCATATCAGTGGACGGAGAGAGCTCCAACTACATCAACGCTGCACTCATGGATGTAAGTGTGCTCTCGTGCACGTGACGCTCGAGTATCTTGAACTTTCCAGCGTCGCCAAATGGAACTCTTTTGAATTGTCTGGTTACCTTTCAGTCATTCATTTTTTTTTTCTGCTCCATCCCAACACTCCAGAGCCACAAACAGCCAGCGGCCTTCATCGTTACCCAGCATCCTTTGCCAAACACCATGGGCGACTTCTGGAGACTGGTGTTCGACTACAACTGCTCGTCCATTGTAATGCTCAATGAGATGGATGCGGCACAGGTACACACACATGCAATTCCCTCTATACCTGCTCCCCCCATCATTTGGCTAACAGAGCTTTAGAAAAAAAAGCAGACAACCAGGAGCTGACCCATCGACTGGAACATCACAGCGCCGGATCAATACGCCCAGAGACTGTTTCTATAAATGTGTATCTGCAGTCCTAGAGTTTTTTAAGAGCCGGACAACTGAGAAACCTTTAGCTACAGTTTTGTGCAAACCAATCCTCTGACCTGAAAAGGTTAGGAGCAGAAAGCAGAGAAACTTTTCTCAGACATTTTAGTTTTTTAAGCGGTTCATGAACTCTGCTAATCGTTACAAAATCTGAAATGCAGAAGCTATTGATCAGAGAACGTTACTCAACATAACGTTCGGCGTGACCTCTAACCCGGTCACGCCGACTGGGCCAGAAGTTTCCCCGCTTGGTTAACCTTTCAGAAAGTTTTGTGAGAAGAGATGAGAGCACAAAACTGGAGCAGCTCGTGTCATCATGTACTTCTTTGGGAGTACATGATGGTTTATTTCTGGACTTTTTATGCCTTCATTTAGAGACAGAACACTCGATAGAGTCAGAAATCAGGAAGAGAGAGGGGATCGACACGCCGCAGGTCGGATTTGAACCCGTGCTGCCTGCTTAGAGCAGTGGTACCCAAAGTCGGGGTCAGGACCCCATGGGGGATCGCGAGATTCCTTCCAAAAACATGTAAAAAAAATGTAAATAGCATGTCTTATCCATTATTGTGAAAATATAAACAAAAGCAAAGTTGACGCCGCTATTTTGGATAGGCGTCATAGTCTGGACAGCTGAGTTGAGTTTTGAGTGTTTGAACCACCTCTAGGGACAATGGGGGTCCCCAGTTGCTGGCCACTTTACTTTTGGGGGTCGCGGACTGAAAGGTTTGGGAACCCCTGGCTTAGACGACTAGAGCCTCTATACATGGGGCAAGCTCACTCACCACTAGGCCACCGTCGCCCCTGTCATCATGCACATTTAACACAAACACAGATGTGTTCACTTCTCTCAGCGTTGATTTGAAATTGTTTCAGGATTCTCAGATAAAAACCTGCACTCTGCATAATGCCTTTTGTTTTTGCAAGTTGGCTCTATCTTGATCAGATCCTGCATTTATTACGTTTTCTATAAGTCTTTGCGTAGGGTCATAAGACCATGAACACTGCATTCATATTCAGACCCTGAGGTCATAAAAGTACATAAATTATAGAATCAATGATGTGTCTGTATAAAGGTTTTATGAAAACGTCCTCCTGATCGGCCTCTCTGTTTTCTTGCAGTTGTGTATGCAGTACTGGCCGGAGAAGAGTTCATGTTGCTACGGTCCGATACAGGTCGAGTTCATATCGGCAGACATCGATGAAGACATCATCAACCGGATCTTCAGGATCTGCAACATGGCCAGGGTACTCCCTTACTTTACATTTAAATACCAGACCAGTTAGGAAGCAGGTTAAAGATAGAATCAGAAGCTTACTCCTTCAAAATAAAATACAGACTTCTCCTAAAGTGAAGCTGCTCCATCGTCCCTTCCCTCCATACATGTGTGTTGGTGACTGTGTCTGCAGAGACTCTGTCCTCTGACTGGATTTTACTGTTCTGCTTTGTTCTGGTTGACTCGGGACGTTTCTGGGCGGGGAGCAGCCTCCAGGTGATAAACACATGCGGTTAGCTTGTGCTAGCAACTTCCTGCTTCTTGGGGTGATGAGCCCAGGAGGAGGGGCCATGTTTGAATGTTGTGTTTGCAAGCTGCAGTGAACATTTCTACTGACTCCACCTTTAAAGGTTCAGCAGGTTGTGATTATGCAAAACAGTTTTTGGTTTTCTAGGCAAAGAATTAAAATAAATAGTAACATGAGTGCATGAGTCTACACTGTGTATCTAGTTTCTTTGTGATGTGTGCACAGTGTCAAATCATTTGATAATTACAGTACGGTAAATGTTATTTGATTTGATAGTTGTTGATTTGATACCTTGCTCATGAGTGGAAGAAGAAGAAGAAAAAGAGAAAGAAAACACTGCTGCTGACCTTCATGTGACATATAAAAATACATAGTGGAGCAACGCATGCAGAGATAAAATGTAACAACACATAAAAGACATTTTTCATTCCACCTGACCTTTACTTCCACTTAAGCAGCTGTCAGGATGAAACCAGGTCCAGCACTGCAGCAGGCCCGGCTAACTGAGTCGTCCTGCTTTAGAGAGAACCTCTGCGGAGAAAATGGCCGCATGGTTGGAGGTGGTTCAATAACAACAGGACATTTTTTTTAAAATATATCTTCTCCCATTGTTTCTCCTCTTGTCTTGTAACACCTCTCCTTTACTTTCACTTCCAGACATGTCTTTCCTTTCACCTCCTCTTGTTCCGCTCTTCTCATCTCGTTTTCTCTCTCTCCATCCATGACGGAACAACTCCAGAGGTTTCCCTATCGTCTGAATGCTCCTATAGCACTTAGTGAACTCCCCACTACCCCTGCTCCCTATATTCTCGCTACCTCTCTCTCTCTCCACACCTTTCAAACACATCACCGGTGTAGCGTGAAATGGCTCATATCATCACCACAACAGCACATCTCACACTGAGAGAGCAGCTCCAGCCTCGCTGAGTCTGTACGGCCCGACCGCTAAGCCATCAAATGAGGAGAGAGAGAGAGGGGGAGAAAAGGTTTGAGCGAGCGAAATGGAAAATGCACAAAGAAGAAAAATGAAGGCAGGAGTGAGTTGGTGAAGAAATAGGCCTGTAAAAAAGTTTGAAATGGGCGCTGATTTGAAGTGGCGAGCGCGATGAAAAGAAAGACATTAAGACGAGAAGGAAGCAGAGATGAGACGAGACGGGAAATCAGGTATAAATGGAAGAGTGGGAAGATAGTAGAAGGGAAAATAAAGAACAGATTTAGCTGAATCTAGCTGTGGCTGCAAATGTCAATGTGCATATTTGTGTGTGCAAACCCGGCAGCAAATCATCCTGACAGTGACGGCAGGTTTTTTGGGTATTTTTTTTGGGCAGTGGATGCCAACCGCCTCGGGCCGGACGACTGAAAAAACATTTTGTCTGCCATGAAATCGAATTAAACATTATGAGACGTTCTCTTTGTTGAACACAATGCTGTTGCTTTTGGGAAAAGCTGCTTCGTGCAGAAACAAGACCTAATAGGGAGCACGACAGAATGCCGACACACGCTGACACCAGATGAGAAGAATGGCCGCGTTGGGTGCAGTGGTTCTCAACTGGTGGGTCGGGACCCAAAAGTGGGTCGCAGATGCTGTTTTCACAGGCAAAGACGGCTGTTTGCAGGGCATTGGATGCTGTTGGTGGTATGGAGTTGGTGGCGGCTTGTGTGTTTTCTGGAGGACTTTCAGACCATTTATCTTTGAGGTGCTCACTTTTAGATGACAGTGGAACCTGGGATTGCTGCACCAACATCTCCAAGATGTACAATATGTCACTGTACAAGCTTTAATGGTGCATTTGTATCAAACACAAAAGACCTATGTTGTATGTCTGAATGATGTGCAAAAACATCTGTATTTGACGACCTGGGGTTAGACTGCATTGGGTATTTCTACAGGTTTGGAGTGCAGGGAGCCTGATCCAAACGTCTACAATCATAGGCTCTAAACCTGCACAAAACCACTTTTAGCAGCAAAGTACAAAATATTTTTGTCTGAACATACATACCTGCATGCAAAGTCAGTGAAGACAATAAAGTCAGCAGGAAAATGGGTTAAAGCAGCAGATGTGCTTTCAGTGAGTTTAAAATGTGTTAATATGTTGGTCCTGTCATCCTGGAATGAATGGTTTAAAGTACCAAGTATTCCCTCTTCACACTTTAGAAACCCTGATGATCTAATGTGGAACTATATCGCAGAGAAGAAAATAGACTTCCTTATTTATAAATATACTTTTTTAATGATTTTAGGTGTTACACTTGGAAGGTGTTCCAGTTGTTTTCTCATTTTGACAACCACCAATGAAAGAACCTGCATGATGCTGAATATGGTGATGGAAGCTTTAGAGATAAACATCCTCGTTTTCTCACCCCTCTCTCTCTCTCTCTCTCTCTCTCTCTCTGTGTCTCGGCAGCCTCAGGACGGTTACCGCCTGGTGCAGCACTTCCAGTTCATCGGCTGGCCGGCGTACAGAGACACGCCTCTCTCCAAACGCTCCATCCTGCAGCTGGTCAGGAGGCTGGCTAAATGGCAGGAGCAGTATGATGGAGGGGACGGGAGGACTGTGGTGCACTGCCTGTAAGTTCAGCACATACACACACACACACACACACCCACACACACACAACACACACACACACACACACACACACACACACACACACACACACACACACACACACACACACACACACACACGGATGCACAAACTTCCTAACATGTAATGAAGCAGTGGGAAGTCAGCGGTGGAGGGCTAGAGAAAGCATTTCTCCCCGGGATGATCGATCACACTTATCAATGATAAAGTGCACTCTCTACAGAAGCACACACACACACACACACGCACATACGCACACACGCACACACACACACTCACACAGACCTTTAAGATGATACATACATGTATGTTTTTTTCTCGACTCCTCCATTTTTCTATGTTAGGTGTTTCCCTCATGCTTTATTTCTCCCACACTGATCCGTCTGACGTACAGATGGTCTGAACTCTGAATATTTATCTCCGCTCAGGTGTTTCTGAAGAGCAGCACGAGGACGCCAAACACACACAGAACTGATCTGATACATAGAATTATACTTATACACTGTTAAAAGAAGGTGCTATTAAATTGCTAAATTGTTGTACTTTAATAAAAGTGCCGACCTGACATCCAGCTTACAAAGAGCCTTGGCTGATAAATTACAGGTGACCTACACACCAGAGCTGTATATCTAACTCTTTACCTTATACCCCACCTTATTTAAAGCTATAAATCATTGGTGGAGATACAGATAGAGGATGGGTTTAGTAAATGGCTTCAGCTTCAGCCAGTAATACCAGCTGAATTTGATTTCAGATTATAGAGTGATAAAGGTTGGGCATTTAAGATATTAAACACATTTACACCAAAATGCAAGTTTATGGATTTAAAGTGTCATTGTGATCTGAATGCAGTCTACACATTGCAAATGACTGCCTAACGGCCCAGCCCCAACTATATGCGACAATTCTGGCGCCACATTCACTTTGTATAGGACGCGACACGCGAGTAGGGCAAAGGATTATGGGATGCATGGCGAGCAGGCGCAGGCACAAGACTCGAGAAAGTGGCGGGACAAAAAGTTGAACTTCAGTGAGCAACATTCAAGCGAGTGCGATGCGAGCTGCGTCATCCGCTATTCATATATCCTGACTGACTTTAACAGAAGTATAAATAAACAAAGGAACATGAATAATAGTGGTTATTGTGAATCCATGATCGTTTGTCTACATGAGAACACACGGCTGTGCAGCGAGCAGAACAAATGACGCTGATAATGAGGGAGGGAAACAGACAATGTAAAATCTATCTAGGAGAGATTACACTGAACTTAACAATTACACACACACGCACACACACACACACAGAGTCCAAACACTGCCCAAAGCACATCACTGGTGCTTATCCAATCAGCATCCTCTGTCACAGCTCATTGGGCCAATCAGAATTGGCATTGATTTCTTGTTTTTTTCTCGCTGTGCAGGGATTTGTTTTGTTACAAGCTTTTCTAGATATTCAAACCTTTTTTTTCCGCTCAAGCAAATAGAAACAATCCCAGTCTTAAATATGGATGGGTATGGCTAAAACTGGTAAGAAGCCACTTCAACTTTAAGTTCATGGTTGAGGAAGAAGAGAAAGAATTCTAGGTATTTCAAACCTGGGTCCTGTTTTTCTCTATAACCCTAAAAATTGCGGCAACTTCCGGAAAAATTAAGCCAATGCAAACATGCAATATCCTGCAGTTCCTAAAGTGTCCACTAGAGGCTGGCTGCAGAAGCACAGGAAGTCACATACACACCCATTCTAAAAATCCTGTTTTTACAGACTGGTTCAAGAAAACAAAAAGGTCTGATTATCTCATGTCTCGATCGACACACACTGAACGAGGGGTTTTGATGACTCATCAGTTTTGATTTGATGAAGGATAAGAGTTATTCACAATAAGGCGTGTAGCTGACCTGATTGACAGGTGGGCGCGGTGTAACGGTTTGTCAGGAGGTTTAAAACCCGCCTCAGCTCCAGCTCTAAGTCTGTCGTTAGGTTGACTGAAAGTTAGACTGAGACAGTATTTCCAGCATGGAGACCACCATCGATGGGACTCCAGCGCCCCCTGCAGGAACAGACGGGTGACAACACTCAGGCTTCAAACATTCATATTTACAGTCTATGACATATACGAGCAGAGACCTGGTGTTGGATTGGCATCCTCCACTCACGTCCAGATTGATAACTGCTGAACTGTGCTTGGTAATGACCTAACGTCCAGTTCTTCTCATTGCTCCTCCTTCTTATTCAGAATCAACATTCAAACCTCTGGTGTCATATAGGAGTATAGATGGTGACAGATACACATAACCTTCTTTGACCTGATAAAGAATCAATACCGAGAGCTATTGATTGGTGTCCTGTTTGGAAAAGACGACGTCGTTTAGACCATCATTCATCATCTTCAGTTAAATTGCAAACTGACTGACGTTTATAAAGTTCTTACCTGCGCAGCTACAATTCAACACCAACAACAAAAAAAAGTTGAATTTAAACAGATAAAGGCAAAAAATAAGAATTCCCCGTCAGTACTGCTCAACATAAGTAATCATGAGTGACGGGGAAACAAACGCTCTCTGCTCCGGGCTAAAGACTGCTACACCAGCTAATCAGCCCACATATTGATTTCACAGACTTGGTAATACCAGAGATAAGAGGAAACATGATGGTTCAATCAGGAGCTGGTGAAAATTGATTATTCTTCTGCTCCTCACTTGTCCTCGGAGTTAGAGCGTGATGGGGTCTTTAGAGCGGGGGGGGGAGGGTGAGGTGTCTAATACACATTACACAGCGATCTGTCAGAGCTACGTTTATTTAACGCTGTGGAGATTTTAATTCTAGACACTGAGATTAACAAAAATGTCCATATGTTGGTCATTCAGCAGGCTGCGTCTGAATAGAGAGCTGTCCCGCCCCCTCCTCTCTAGAGTCGATGCTCACACAGGTTGCCATGTGGTGGACACTGAAGGTTCAGTGTTTAGCCAGCTCTGCATCGGTCTGTAAACCTTTCTGCGAAACATGCAGAGGCTTTTTAGGTCGGGTACAATCACTTCTATCTGAACTAGTTCTCTTGCCCGCTTCCATCGCTGCAACACCTGTTGGTTTGACCTGATAACTGCTCTCATATCTGGAAAACCGAGGGGCGTCCAAACAAATCCAGAGCATTCAGGACCAGAATCTAAAGTTAGAAGGAGGACATACTGGCTGCTGCATTGTTGTCAGAGAAGCCAGCACTTCAACATAGAATGTCCTTAATGTCTGATCATGTAGTAAGGTCACTTTATCATTTCACCCACTACACATCTCACTGATTGGTCTGACCATTCATGTGACACTAAGCTGTTGTGATTGGTTGACTAACACCGCCCCTGCAGAGCGGCAGTGAGAGATCTTTGTGACGGCTGTCTCTCCACCTCTCTGTGTCTGAATGTTTAATTCAGTCTGAACTCTGAGATCTCTGACAGCTGATTGAGCCGCATAGCCAGTGAACACACAACATGTACACACAGCTACTGTATGTTTGCATCAACTCATCTGTATCCATTACTGCAAACTTTCTCAAGTCTGAGAAACAGCGTCACTAGAAGGTGAACAGACCTATTCAGACGTCTTAAATCCATTAGTGGAGCCAGTTATTGTTCTGCTCCGAGCGGTGACAGGTTTCTTTGTGCTGCTTGTTCTCTATGTGACTCGGTGTCAGTCTCATTCAGACGTCTCACAGCTTATTCCTGTTATTGTTCTTGTTTCACGTTGAGGAACTTTTTAAAAGTCTCGAATGTGACTTCCTTCAACTTTTGTTTGTACTCTGCATATTTTTTTTGGCCTTCTAATACAAGCAGGGATTTGCGATTAACATGTTCACTAGGAAGGATGACGCCAAAACCATATAAGATATTAATTGATAGGTCATATGAGTGATGAGACAGGAAGTTGTCAGTGGGCCGGTCTGGGAGGTTGGACTGACTGCAGGGCGGAGGGAGACTCAGGATGGGGGTTGTGTCTCAGGCGTGATTCTGCCCGATCTGATCACGACCCGGACTGTTCCTAGAGTTAGACAAGCAAGATGAAAGGAAGAGGAAGGAGGGTGGGTCAAAGAACGGAGACAAACAGGGTGGAGTGGGACGGCTCGGTATAAGTCGGCTTGTCAGGTGATTTGAAGTGTGGTTTGGGTGCAGTCCAACTATCCCTGGTTTAAGACTGGAGCTGTGTGGGTTTCTCAAAAATAGATTGAAATGGAATTAACCACTTGGGAACCGATTGGAATGCAATGAATCATTATTATTGTGCCTGCCTTTTAGGACTCCTTTTTGGTCGCCTGAATGTTCCCTAAAACTCACTAGAAGTGACATGGTCACCAGGTCTGAAGATAAAATAGCAACTTCTTCTTCTAAAATCTTTTTAGAAAAGGTCCCCTATTGAGGTTATTTTCCCCTACATGCATAAAATGTGGTTTGCATATCGACCATGACAAGACCTACAAAGATCCTCTTGTTTGGATTTGGATTTTCATCTGTTGCATGCAAAACAGCAAAACATTTAGTTAAACCGTATTTGCACAGAGTTCAGAGGTTTGAGGTGATTCCTCTGACACCATCAACCTGAATGCAGCAGCTGCACTAAAGCAGAGGCAGGACAACAACTGAGGGATAAAGACGCGTCTGCAGGAAAACATGAAATTACGTCATAAACACATTTAAAACAGCAGAGCTCCCGGAGTGATAAAAGAGAAAGAGAACAGCCTGCTGATCTAACAGGGAGCAGGTGGAGATCCCCGACTGTAAGGCAGCGGGTCAGAAGACATTTTCAGGTGTTTCTACTTCCTCTCTTTACTCGCTCGATGATGTAAATCTCTTATTTCTTTCTTTCTTCCATTTTTTTTTTTCTTTTAATGATCAACGAGACCAGCAGGGAGATTATGGCCTACACACCTGGGTTTTCAGGATGACGTTGTTGTTATTGTTTAATGATGAAGATTGTTTTTGTCCTCCCTCCCTCCTCTATTCTTCCTCCTCCTCCTCCTCCTCCTCCTCCTCCTCCTCTTCCTCCTCCTCTGCAGTACCGGCGGAGGGCGTTCTGGAACGTTCTGTGCCATCTGCAGCATCAACGAGATGATCCAGCAGCAGAACATTGTGGATGTTTTCCACACCGTAAAGACGCTGAGGAACAACAAGACCAACATGGTGGAGACCATGGTGAGGACCTGTTTTGATTGGCTGCTGCTTTTCAATATGGAAGCTACTACTTGTATATCTACATAACAACAACATGACGACTGAGGCTCGGTTAAAAGTCCAAAAAACCAGACTAGGGATGGGAAGCTGGATAGTCTAGTGGTTATGACACACGTCCCATTTACAGAGTCTAGGGTCCTCATCGCGGCGGCCTTGGGTTCGAATCCGACTTTTGCTCTTTGCTGCATGTCATCCCTCGCTCTCTTCTCCCGATGTTTCCTGTCTCTCTTCAGCTTTACTATCCAATAAAGGCAAAAAGATAACTTCCTAAGCGGCTTCTTTCAGGGCCAATTAAAAATGCAATATGTATTTTCCGCCACAAATCATTACTATAATAACAAAAAGATGAAGTTGAGGCTGCCGGGGAATCATGGGAGTTCTCTCTGCTACTCCAACCCCCAGGGAAACTGAACTCAGCATTGACCGTAGTCATGACGACCGGGCGAAACCGACCTGAGGAAGAGAATATGTTTACATGTATCCGAGTATAGTTTACATGACGTTTTTAATCACAGCAGCACATACAGCAACAGGACGGCAGCTTTAAGCAGCAGCTCACGCTTCCTTATGCAGCGGTCTTTGACGCAACATCCGGTGTTTCCACGGCAACGATAAACATGTTGTTTCTGTCATGGCGGCCGTCAACTCTAAAATGACAGATTTCTCTGGCTTTGAAAACTGTTGGAAATATTTGAGCTAATGTTAGAACAAAAGAAAATATATAATAATAAGTTTAATCCATTTTTATTTAAATTAGAAATTTTAATTTGAACATTGTCATAAAATTCTACAAATTGTACGTTAAAAACAAATTTAATTTCAGACTCATCTTAAGTTAAGAGCAGACTCAGAAAACAGTGGAAGCTGCGAAATCAAAGCTTCTGCAGGTAAATGATGTTGGATTAGTTTCCTGATTGCGGCTTACTTGTGTAAACCTGGCAACCCTGTGCTGCATGTGTCTGTTGTGTAGTTAAGAGGAACGTCCTAAGATGAGATGTGAGATATGAGATAAGAGGTCGGTACTCAAGAGGCCACGATGACTTAGAAAATGTACAAATTGTAAGAATCTTCTACGATGCATCGCCTCTGTCTTCACTCGGCGCTCTGGAAGTTCCTTCATGGAGGTCAAGCAGCATTTCACAATGAAAGTTATTTTGCAGATGACTGATGTTGCTTTTGTCTGCGTGTCCTCCACAGGAACAGTACAAGTTCTGCTATGAAGTGGCTCTGGAGGCGCTCAGCTCCTTCTGATTGGCCGAGGGGCTGAAAATCCTCTTCTCTTTTCTGATTCGCCGTTGATGCTGCCTGCCATTCCTTGACGCAAAACCGGGCGACACAGAGCGCAAAAAAAATAAAACTGCAGCTGCTGTCGAAACCCGAAAACCCCGACCTGTGAGCGTGTGTGTGTGTGTGTGTGTGTGTGTGTGTGTGTGTGTGTGTGAGAGAGAGAGAGTGTGTGTGCTTGATTTAATGTGTGGGCAAAGAAAGGGCATGCTTGCATATTCGAGTGTGTGTGTGTGTGTGTGTGTGTGTGTGTGTGTGTGTGTGTGTATCTATAAGTGTGCCTGGGACACACACGCAAGCTGTACAGAAGAAAACCAAGCGACGAGCATACACACGGAGGATCTGTGTGTGTGTGTGTGTGTGTGTGTGTGTGTGTGTGTGTGTGTGTGTGTGTGTGTGTGTGTGTGTGTGTGTGTGTGTGTGTGTGTGTGTGTGTGTGTGTGTGTGTGTGTGTGTGTGTGTGTGTGTGTGTGAGGACTTTACACGCTTGTACAAAGAAAAAAAGAGAAAAAATGATATGTTTAAGAAATGAAATCAGATGTTTAAAAAAAAAGAAAAAAAAAAGAGCCACTTTTTCCTTCTTCTCTCTGTCCTGCTGGGCTGTGATGTGACGACTGTACAGTATCTCCTTTTTAGATCTACTCTACGCCTTGAATGTTGTCTCCCTCTGAAGGCTGGATGCACACTGAAAGACCTATGTTTTTACTTCATTTGATTCTCAAACTTTAAGATTTAGGACCCCGATATGAATCCTACCAGAGAATCTGCAGAAAAGAAGGATCTGAGTGACGCTGAAGTTTGGGTTTTTTGTTGTTGTTTAAGGTCCGTTTAAATTCATCCAAGCAGAAGAACTACACTGTGCCAGACCCCCCCGGCCTGTTCGATGGCCACGTCTGGCCCATGTATTTGAAACACAAGAACATCAAATCTTTTTTCTGACATATCCACCGCCAGCACCGAGGGGCCACGCGGCCTCGGGTGCGGGGATCTCAAACCGGTAATGATCCTTCCGCAGGTTCACCTACGGAAACGAAATGTTTCTGTTTATTCTGAGTTAGAGTTCCTGCAGCAGACGGGCTCATTTGACTGCCTCACTCCTGGTCGCCTTTGAAATCGCTCACTTGTTTTCCTTCATTCTGCTTCAATGAACCGAGGCCGAGTCCACACGTAGGCGAGTATTTTTAAACGGTGGGTTTTCCTCCTCTGTTTAAAAAAAGAGTCCCGTCCGTCCCGTACATCTTCATCCACATGAAAATTTCAACCCAGAGTCCGCCAAGTCTCGTCCAGAACCGCCCAATCAGGCGTCTCTTCTCGTCCACACACTGGGAGAGTAACTGTGTGTGTATGTGTGAGCCTGTAAAAAGTCCAGTTCGCATCGTTAGCACCAGCGCTAGTTTGGTGACGTCGGCCATCGCACTAATCTCATGTAAACTAAAGTGACAGCGTCGCATGATGACATCACACAGAGGAGAAACCGACGCACAGCGTGAGGTCTACACAGAAGCACCTTAAACAGAGTTTCTGAACATCTTCACCCTGGAAGGAGTTTTACTAAAGGAGAGTTTACAGAGACCTGAAAAGATGTTTATGTACAAAAGGTCAAAACGCAGAGAAGAAGCTGATTTAAAAAAAATACCCGCCTACGTGTGGACGAGGCCTCTGATAAGTGGCGTCGAGTGAACGGTGAAAAACAACAAAGAAATGAAGTAACCTCTCCTTTTCTGTAAGACTAAAACACGGTATTACAGAATCTCTAAGAGGACAAACATCCATACATTTGATTTAACTCCGACTTCTGTAATCAAAAAAACATTTAGCTTGTTTTTTTGAGATTTTACAGTCTTTATTTCACATCATCTTCGGATAATAACGCTGGTTTTCCCGTCATGAAGAGTCAGTTTCATTTTGTTTTTTGAAGACCTCGAGAAATGAGCTCATTGACCACAGGATAAGAAGCGTTTTTCTCCTGCGATAATGAGATAACTGGATAAATCTGAGTGAAGCATAAGGATGTCTGCTTAGGGCTTCCGTAGTTTTCAATATTTCTGCTCTTTCATTTTATTTTGAATGTTTTTCGGCTCGATGTGAAGTCGGTCTCGGCCGACTCTTTCATTGTGCGTCCAGCCTTACTGTAAATAAGATCAGACGACCACAGTCAAACAAACAAACAGACAAACATCCGGCACCAGACACATCACCAAGAAAGGTTTTCATTTCAGAACACACATCACTTCCTGTGATCATTGTTTGCATCACGTTATCTTACCGTAAACTGTCCCAAACGTTAAGACGTCTGAAGCATTAAGATATATATTTTTACATATTGTACATTTTGCAGACATCCAGAGTGGCTTACGATGGAAGCAGAGCACCATTTAGACGTTTTTTTGTTTTTTGTTTTGTTATTTTGGTGGGGCGGACTTCTAGAGAGAGCATGACCTCTTTGGATTAACCTTGTGATGGTCAGGATTTAAGAGAGCGTTTTTAAAATGAGCAGCTCGTCCTGTGACATCATATCGATTCAGAGGAAACAAACAAAGTGTCACTTATTCTCCCTGACTTTCCTCACTGTTCAGACAGATTCAAGCTTTTGCTTCAGGGGCGTGTCCAGGTAAAATCTTATTGGCAACCCAAAATACTTGAGTACTATTGGCTATTAGCCTTGCCAGAGGCGGGACTTATGTTGCAATCCAGCATTCAGGCTGTTGCAACAGGCACTTTTTTAGTTTCAGATGTTTGTTTGCATTTTTTAAAACACTTTAAACTTTGATTTTGGACGTACAATCCTTAAAAAATTACGATTGAAGATGTTTATGTCGACATTATCTTGTGTTACTTGAACGTCGATGTGATTGGTGCAGACAGAAGAGGTAAACAAACGCTCCTCATTCACGTGTGTGAACACAAACTTCAGGCCCCCCCTGCACAAGTTGGTGCCCCAGCTGGGCGACCCAGAGTCCCAAACAAATCTGGACACGCCCCTGTCTTGCTTCGACATAAGCTGCTTTCAAAGCCAACAAACAAACTTTGAGTTATTATCAAAGTTCTGAACTGAATCTAAAACCCAGAAGCAGTGAGTCAGCAGCCTCACAGTTCTTGTCTCGTTGCTTTTTTTAAGATTTGGACGTTAACATGGGTTGTGAAAATTGTATTGTATTGTATTTTTAACTTATTTTTGCTCATGCTTCAAACTGTTTAGTTTTTAGATTCTTTGCTTTTGCATGTGGGAAAAGAAAACAATGAATCCTTCAAAATGTGTCGATTTCAGACCAAATCATCCCAAAGTAATCGCACATTAACTGCAAATCATTATTGGAGGGTAAACTTGGATCAGTGGTCAAAATGATCATAAAGGGAAAGAAATCCAGTGTTAAAATAACTGTTCTCCCAGCATGCATCTGTGATTAAACCGACGACACCAACCCAAAGACACGGGTCACGTTTACCTCCCTCCACAAACAGAGGCTCAGTTAGCTTTTCGCTGCAGCACATTGAGGTGTGCACGTTTTGAAAATGTCTTTGACAAACTGTGAGACAGGAAGTGACTGAGCCCGGGCGGGAAAGGCGAAAACATGGCCGCCAAATCAGGTGTTTGGAGTTTGTGCTAGAAGCCGACCTCCCGATTCCGCCTCATTTAATCTGACGTTTGACATTTTACAACATGTGAAGACTAAACCTGTGAAGAGCTGGGATGATATTTTAGGGATTGAAGACCCTTTTTAGGGACTAAAGCGTCTCATGGCCTCATGTCCACCTAATGTTATTTTTTCAGGGCAGCAAAAGCGCTGACTGTGCACTCGGGAGTGTTTGCAAGAAGCTTCTGTGCGCTGAGAAGAAAAGCACGCCTGTCCTGTCTCCATGACAACAGTCTGTTGATAACGGCCGCTGTATGACCGACACGGCTCCACTGCTCTACTCATTAAATACAACTAAAAAAAGATGCTGGCGCTCAGAAAAAAAACGCCAGGTGGACACGAGGCCTAAAGAACGATTTTTGAAATAAATGTCAGGAATTATTCAAACCCTTAAACATGTTTTACACTTTTACATCTCACCAGGAGGTGTCAGTATTTAGAGACAATTAGGTTAAAACTTTACGTTTTCAGGAACACTTGAGTCCGATCTCTGTCGACCACGTGTTACCATAGAAACCGTTTTTGTTTTATGTGTCGAAGCTCTCGGCCTGAAGTATTAGTCTGCTCAAAGTGTTTTTATCTGTTTTCGCTGGAGTCTTAATGTGAGGCTCATTCATGGACCTATGAAGATGAAGAGCGTCCGTGTGTTGTAATGAAGACAATGTGAATGCCGCAAGCGTTTCTCGTTTTTTTGATTTACTCAAAAAAGGCTTTATCGTGTCCCGGCTCAGCTCATGTGTGAGATGTATTTTGTTTGCTTTCTTTTTTCTTTTTTTTTTCAGACTTTTCTTTTTTTCTGAATTTGTACATTTCTTTTGTATAATTATGATTCTGATGATGATTTGTCTAGCAAAGTGTTGTTTAGATCTGGTGACGCCATTACCAATTGGTTGTTTAGTTGTTTGAAATGTGGTTAACATGAAATAAAGGGACCAAAATGTCAAAGAGGATCTCTCGTCTTTTTCTTTGCAGGCTGTTCAAATGTTTTGCAGAACGCACACAAAAACATTTTATCTACTTAACTTTCTAATAAAAAAACATATTTTTACAGCACGGTATATTAGTCACACTTACCTGTGTTACGGCAATACCGTCCCTGATAGGTCGTATTGCGTGGCTGTCAAGCTAGAGAGGGGGCGGGCCTTCCTGCCTGGTCGTCGGCCAATGACTGGGGATTAGCGGAGGTTGTAGCCAAGACCCAAGACCATATATATCAATGAAAAATCATCATGTTGTGTGCAGGGGCGTGTCACTCACTTATACCATAACACAGGGAAGGTTGCCTGGGTGAGAGGCTACTGCCCTTTGTGATGTCATGAAGGGAAAATCTCCAAACAGCCTGTTTGGACATTTTCTGAAAAGTGGAGCAGGCAAAAGACGGAGAGGATGGACTTTTCTCTTCTTTGAAGGGGTTTGTAGACAGACACATATTAGAGTTAGAGAAACATGGGGGATGGTCTCACCTTTATTACAGAGTCTTTGAAACCTGCAGAAACACACAGTTAAACATCAGGTACACGTCTAGGTGAATGACAGCCATGTTGACAGAAACAACTCTCCATCTTGCTTTCTATTTTACGCTTTCATCTCGAGACCTGAGCTGTTTGTTTGCTTCCTCATAGTTTTGATCCCCGAGCTGGAGAGAAGAATAAAACAACATAGGTCTTTATAGACAGATTTTTTTTTCTCTTTTTCTAATCAATCAGAGTCTGTGATGAACGCAGCTCCAAGCCAACGG